AACCTGAAAGGAATTGCATCATGAACCATTTGAAGAAGATTTTCCAGGTTCAGAGTTTCTATGAGAATGAGTAGCAGCTGAACTTTGGCATGATAAAAAGAATATAAAGCCTCAGATGATATTCCCAGCTTTCCAAAGTTATAAGACCCTGATAAGATTCCCTGTGACATAATATTGCAGAGCAAGTATAAAACCAGAATAGAATGTGGAAATTAATATCAAACAACTAAGGATAAAGATATACCTTATAGAGCAAGCACAAATTTTTCCATTTTTCAGCACTACAACTACATAGTGACTCATAATAAATGAGAAACATAATGTCCAAAACCAAGTTGTCTTCAAGCAGTGTCTCCTCAGCCCATAAGGTGAAAAGATCAACATCCTATAAACCATTCTCAAAATGTATATTAAATGTCAGCTGGCTTAAGCATAATATCTAATAAAATATAACTAAGCATGTAGATATTCTTCTATCCAAATGTAATGCATATACATAGTAAAGGTTCCTAAAGAAACTTCAGAACATACAATAAAAGATGCATGCCACAAAATCAACCATCTTAATGAATACCTTCTTGATTAGCTGCCTATGTTCCTACGAACTTGTTGCTCCTAAGTTGTTTAGTAGGGGTAAAATGTAAACAACAACTCATATTAAACATACCATCTGCTCTGGATGACCGCAAGACATAAGGACTTGCAAGACAGATATTAATTTCCCTTCCAGTCCATCGGCAATCAGCTTTAGTGCTTCATCCCTAACCAAACTCCCTTCTTTCAAGCTATTTCCCAAATATACTGCACCAAACATAGCAGTATTCTCGGTAGAAAGACGTCAATATAAAACTGAAAGAAATGGCATCAAAGGGGAGATTAAAAATAGAACATCCTCATAATTGCCTTACAAGCATGCATGAGAATCTGCCTTGTGCACTTGAACAAGCATTGACGCTCGATATAATACTGTAGCAATACCTTCATAAGGGGAAAACCAAAACAGAAGGGTATATAAAAAAGAATCAGACAGCTTCATAGCAGAGAATAGAACCTATGACTTAAAAACAGATGCCCACAAATATTTCACACTTATGACTTAAACCAAGTGTCACTTCAAGTAAACAACTACAACATCCTAAACACACATAAAAGTCAAAAACCACAAACTTTAGAGACACATTTTCACAAATGCACATGTATATGCATCGGTGCATATGTATTTATGATTACAATAAACATCAGGGCATCAGGGCATCTGTGTTTTGCCAATATTGTAATTAAAAGACGAGGAAGCTACTAACCACATGAATAGGATCACGAACTATATAATTCTCAGCGGTATTTCCGCGCTCAAGATACCTATCAACGAGAATGTAGGACTGCACCTCATCCAAACACTGTTAATAAACCAAAACTAGAATCAGAAACGCCAAAAGACATTATTTCTTTCTACTTGAGGAGACATTGTTGACAATCGATAACTCATTTACTTAAAAAGTTCGCTTCTCTTAACCAATCAAATAATGCACTGTGCTAAAGAGTAAAACACGACTTAAAACAAAAGGTATAACAAAATTAAAGAGAGAGAAGGTTCAAATTGAAGTGAATATGCAACTAACCAAACACGAGCTGACTTGCAAAGCCTTATCTCTGAAATCAGGTTTTACAGTGAACTCATGTGGACCGATTTTGATTTGCTGAGAACTCATCAAAGCCTCCTTCGATTTCTCATTCGGCGGTTTAAACCTAGCCACAGTCTCCACGAACCAATCGTGATTTTCTTTCAACTTCTTCGCCTGCAAAATACGGAACGCGTAAAAACAACGCCACATACGCAAAAATGCACGTCAAAAAAAAAAAAAGAGAGAGAGCAAGAGTAGATTTACTAGGGGTTCCGGGAGGTCGTCCGAGGAAAAGGCGTTCTCTAGGTCGGTGAGAAGAGAAGAAAACGGCTCCCACCAAAGAGAAGGATCGACGGACTTAGTGGTCGCCGTCATTGATCTTGATCTCCTAAAACCCTAGCTCAAGGAAAAAGAGAATTGAAAACGTTCTTTTTTATGATAATTTTGATTGAAATTTTTTGGCGCTTTTTGAGAAGAGAGGGGTTTTACTGGGATTTTGAGTGTGTGGGTTTGGGTTTTCTGAAGGGTGCGATGGGATGCGATCAAGTCGCGTGGTAATGCCGCACTGCGTTTAGACATGACAATCTTCAACTTGAGAGGATGATGCAATATTAAATGATACGAATAAAGAAATATTAAAATAATATAATTTAAAATGTTAATAAAAATTATAAATAAATTTAATAAAATAAAAAATAAATATTTTATATTTTATAAATAATTTTTTACAAAATAAATTATCAATATATAAATTATCAATATTTTATATCATATAAATACATTAATTATCAAACCTAACAGTAAATAATTGATTTTTTCTTTTATCAGCTCACCTTTATTTATCTTGCGTTAAGTCGATGATGTGATTTAAGGGAAATTATTCTTTTAATTTAAGCTCAATTTCTCACTTATTGTAAATTTTTAATTTAATTTACGAATCCATTAGAGCAAATAAAGTTCATTTTTTTATTATTTTATTTTTCCATCAAAGGCCCATTCAAGCCTTTATTTTTTGTTGTTACATTTTGCATATATCTTTTTACTATTTTATAAAATAAATTAAAAATTTTTCAAAAAAACCCCCAAAACCATTTTATAATTTTATTTTTTAATTTCTCCCTTAATTTAAATTTCAATTAGAACCATTAATTAAGTTTATTATTTTAATAAATAAAATAATTAATTTAATATTAATTTTGTTTTTTATTATTACTTTTAAGAATAAATTTTTTAAAATTATTATTTTCATTCTATTATATCATTATATGTTTTTATAAGTATTATTATTGATCATATCTCTCCATTTAAAATTATATTTCATAAATGATATTTTTTAAAAAATATATTTCACGTAAAGCATGGATCATTAGTTTTTTTATTTTTAATTTTTAATTTAGCCTTAAACACTAAATCATTATTTATTATTAAAGTTATGTTTGATATATAAGATAATGGATAAAATAATATGATAATTATTTTAAATTATATTTAATTTATATCTAATTAAAATGAATATAATTACAATGAAAATTATCATCTTTTTTGTATAGGATGATTTAATTCTCTCAAAATAAAAAAATTATTTTAAATCAATAAAATTAAATTTATATATTCTATTATATATTTAAAAATTACATCAATAATTTAAATTATATATATTTAAAAAAATAATTTTATCTAATAAATAAATTATTTTATCTTAATTTTCACACATATCAAACATTAAATAAATTGATAATATTTAATTTTATTTTATTTATAATTTTATTTTATTTTATTATAATCTTATATATCTAATATAATTTAATAATATTATACATCTAAATCTTTTTCAAACTACAATTTCAAAAAATCTTATCAATAAAAAAATCATTAATTATATATTCATTGTATAGGAAAATGGACAGTAAAACTTGAAAATTGTGCAATTCTTACTTTAATTAATTTATAAAGAAATCTAAAGAGTAAGGCGAAAAAATAAAAAGAAAAAGGGAAAGTAGTAGTAATTGTCCAAATTGTGGCCGACGCCGAAAAGCAACCCAACCCATGGGGCCATGAAATGTTGGTTGTTATAATATCGATTAATTGTGAATGAAATTATTGAAAATTAAATATTATATTATTTTAATTTTATTAATTTAAATTATCATTCAATTGATTTGATTAGTTTTAAATAAAATTATTTAAAATTAATTATTTTATTTTATTTTTATTAATCAAATCAAATTTATTAATTTTAAAAATTAATCTATCAAAATTAAATTTAATTAATTTGATTAATTTTTTCATTAATTGAATAATAAATATATTTAAATTAAATTATATTTTAAATTATTAATTTTTTATATTTTAAATAAATTAAATAAAATTATCTAATAAAATATCAAAATATTATATTAAATATTCTAATATATTATAAAATAAAATAATCTATTTTTTATATTTTTTATTTTATATTTAAATTTGTTATATCTCGATTAAAATTTTTATTAATTTAAATTATTATTCGATTTATTTAGTTAGTTTTGAATAAAATATTTAAAATTAAATTTTATTTTATTTTATTTTTATTAATCAAATTAAATTTATTAATTTTAAAAACTAATCAATTGAATTAAATTTGATTAATTTTTTATTAATCAAATAATAAATATATTTATATTAAATTATATTTTAAATTTTAAATTTTTAATATTTTAAATAAATTAAATAAAATTATCTAACAAAATATTAAAATATCAAAATTTATATTAGATACTCCATCACAACTACACTATTTATGGCTTCCAGAAAGGTTTGTCGGGGCCTATAAATGTTTGATACTCGATGTATCTTGTCAAATGATGAGCACCCATTTCCCTTTGCATTAATTAAAACGAAACTTCATTTTCATTTCGACAAAAAGAAGGCTGGAAAAAGTGTGACTTTCATTAAAAAAACAAAAAAGGTAGTTGCTGTTAAATGCAGCTCTGGTGAGCTTTGATTTGAACCTCAAAAAGAGATCATTCATGTTGGCTTTTGCAGTTTGGCCTGGGCAAAAGAACATGTACGGCACAAGGGCACAAACTCAAAGAAGCAGCAAATTTGCGCAATCCTATATGCTCTATTACTTTCAGGTTTTTGACATTAATAAGGAACTTATGTACGATTATTGAAACAGAAAATTAGAAACTCACACGAACAAAAACAAACCACACGCGTCCAACTTAATTTATCTGATATAAACAATAAATTAAAAATGAGCACGATTCTGATTTCTTCATTTGTCTCGCCTTCAAAGATTTTTTTGCATGCAGCACAGTGGAAACTCATCACACGAACCTTCATTAACTGCATAAAAACAGTTCAACCTACACACACTTCTATCGCCGCAAGAGCTTAAGGATGATGAGGAGCAAATGGTGGCGATGGAGGCTTTCCAAACTTGGGGTGGTGGAAGTACTTTGGAGGAGTCTTAGGGAGACGAGGAAGCTTAGGAAGGGGAGGGCTTGGCTTCTTAGGGAAAGGAGGAATCTTTGGAAGTGGAGGAAGTGGCTTGTGAGGAATGGGAGGGCATGACTTCCTAAGGAAAGGAGGAATCTTCTTTGGATGTGGAGGAAGTGGCTTGCAAGGAGGGAGAGGGCATGGCTCGCAAGGACGGGGAGGGCATGGCTTCTTAGGGAAAGGAGGAATCTTCTTTGGATGTGGAGGAAGTGGCTTGCACGGAGGGGGAGGGCATGGCATGCAAGGAGGGGGAGGGCATGGCTTCTTAGGGAAAGGAGGAATCTTCTTTGGATGTGGAGGAAGTGGCGGAGAGGAAGGGCATGGCTCGCAAGGAGGGGGAGGGCATGGCTTCTCAGGGAAAGGAGGAATCTTTGGATGTGGAGGATGTGGCTCGCAAGGAAGGGGAGACAATGGCTTGCAAGGAAGGGGAGGGCATGGCTTCTTAGGGAAAGGAGGAATCTTTGGACGTGGAGGATGTGGAGGATGTGGCTTGCAAGGAAGGGGAGGGCATGGCTTCTTAGGGAAAGGAGCAATGTTCTTTGGATGTGGAGGAAGTGGCTTGCAAGGAGGAGGAGGGCATGGAGGGGGAGGGCATGGCTTCTCAGGGAAAGGAGGGATCTTTGGATGTGGAGGATGTGGCTTGCAAGGAAGGGGAGGGCATGGCTTCTTAGGGAAAGGAGCAATGTTCTTTGGATGTGGAGGAAGTGGCTTGCAGGGAGGAGGAGGGCATGGAGGGGGAGGGCACGGCTTGCAAGGAGGGGGAGGGCATGGCTTCTTAGGGAAAGGAGCAATGTTCTTTGGATGTGGAGGAAGTGGCTTGCAAGGAGGAGGAGGGCATGGAGGGGGAGGGCATGGCTTCTTAGGGAAAGGAGGGATCTTTGGATGTGGAGGATGTGGCTTGCAAGGAAGGGGAGGGCATGGCTTCTTAGGGAAAGGAGCAATGTTCTTTCGATGTGGAGGAAGTGGCTTGCAAGGAGGGGGAGGGCATGGAGGGGGAGGGCACGGCTTGCAAGGAGGGGGAGGGCATGGCTTCTTAGGGAAAGGAGCAATGTTCTTTGGATGTGGAGGAAGTGGCTTGCAAGGAGGAGGAGGGCATGGAGGGGGAGGGCATGGCTTCTTAGGGAAAGGAGGGATCTTTGGATGTGGAGGATGTGGCTTGCAAGGAAGGGGAGGGCATGGCTTCTTAGGGAAAGGAGCAATGTTCTTTCGATGTGGAGGAAGTGGCTTGCAAGGAGGGGGAGGGCATGGAGGGGGAGGGCACGGCTTGCAAGGAGGGGGAGGGCATGGCTTCTTAGGGAAAGGAGCAATGTTCTTTGGATGTGGAGGAAGTGGCTTGCAAGGAGGAGGAGGGCATGGAGGGGGAGGGCATGGCTTCTTAGGGAAAGGAGGGATCTTTGGATGTGGAGGATGTGGCTTGCAAGGAAGGGGAGGGCATGGCTTCTTAGGGAAAGGAGCAATGTTCCTTCGATGTGGAGGAAGTGGCTTGCAAGGAGGGGGAGGGCATGGTTCGCAAGGAGGGGGAGGGCATGGTTCGCAAGGAGACGGAGGGCATGGTTCGCAAGGAGACGGAGGGTATGGCTTCTTAGGGAAAGGAGGAATCTTTGGATGTGGAGGATGTGGCTTGTGAGGAATAGGAGCCGCAGGTGGAAGTGGCTTCTTATAGACTGGAGGCTTGTAGATTGGAACTGCGGGAGGAAGTGGTTTCTTGTATGGAGGGGGCTTATATGTTGGAGGAGGAAGTGGTTTCTTGTATGCTGGAACTGGAGGAGGTTTATAGACTGGAGGCTTGTAGACTGGAACTGGAGGAGGAAGTGGTTTCTTGTTTACTGGAGGAGGAAGTGGTTTCTTGTATACCGGAACTGGAGGAGGTTTGTAGATTGGAATGAGAGGAGGAAGTGGTTTTTGGTATACTGGAACGGGAGGAGGTTTATAGACAGGAGATTTGTAGATTGGAACCGGAGGGAGATGTGGTTTCTCGTATACTGGAACTGGTGGAGGTTTGTATATTGGGATTGGTGGGGGAAGAGGCTTCTTGTAGACTGGAGGGAATAGTGGATAATGATGGTGGAAGCTTTTCAATGGGGTAAGTGGTGGAAGCTTAGACAATGGAGAGTGCTTAAAGTGAGGCCAAAAGAAGGCTGAAGCACATGTTTCTGGTGAGAATTTGAGCTTTCCTTTTAGCCCATACTCGTGTTTCCCGTCGCTTGTGGACTTGAAGACTAACTTGGAAGACTCCAGGCCATCATGTGGAGGGCAAGCTGTAGCTGATGCACTGTGAAGCTGTGCATAGCATTCTTCCTTCAATTTTCCGTCTTCAACCAAGTCTTCAGGAAGAGACACTTTGAAGTTCCCTTCTTTATCAAGCTCGCCTGAACCTCGATTTTTGAACTCCCCATCTTCTGGCTTGCAAATCTATGGTTACCCGAAGCCTGTCAATAAAAAAGAACAAATAGCATAACATCATGATTGCAAAATCCTTGTTCCGGGACGACACTAGCATATACAGTGAATCATGAAATGGCACTGTAGCCATAACATGTGAGATTTAATGATAACGATACCTGAAAAATGCCTGGCTAGTCTCGAAGTTATTCTCTGCACAATCTGCACATTCTCCAACCCCGACAACCTCAACTGTTTTACCATCAGCATTGCAAAGCTTGCTGCAAAATAGCAATGACACCAAGAAGCACACAAGTGAGCCTCCTCGAAACAGGAGGATCTGCATTGGGAACCAAGCTTTTTACAGCCCCGAAACAGCAAACGACTACAAACCAAATCAAGACTATCGCTTCTTAGCTGAATCAGAACCTTGAGTGATCAGATTGCATACCAAGGCTTATCACATAGTAATCTTAAGGGGAAGCAAATTCCAAGGCTCACCGACACCACGCTTAAAGGCCTCACACGAGTTTAGGGTCCCCTTTGAGACCGACTTGCTGGTGTTACGGTTTGAAAAAGATAGTAACGTTCCACACTGGCTTCATTGAGCAAATGCCATTATCTTCATTGAATGAGCTCTCAACTGCACAGCTAAATTTTGTTGTATGTTTTCTCATCTCTTTAAACCCCACTACTAACTTTCATAAATATTTTGCTTTTAGACAAATATCGGCTGCATTACAAGAATGGTCCTGCAAAGCATATATTAAAGAGCAGTATAGCTCTAATATCAATTTTTTTGGTTTTACTGATCCCCACATAATTGATGAGCCTGAAATGAGAGAAATGAATGAAAGAAGTTCAGTTTTAGAATTGTGTAACATATTAAGCTGACAATTGATAAATTATAATTGTGTAAAATATTGAAATTTATATATTCGTATTTAATTTTATATTAAATTACGTGTTATAAATTTATATCGACATAAAAACATAAATTTTATTTTATTTTGTTAAATTAATATATTATTAAAATTTTAAATTATATCACATGATATCTTATATTTATTGCATGCCTATGTTACGTTTTATATTTCTCATTACTATCATAAGCTCATTTTTATGATAACCCAATTTTTCGTTTTCCTTTCTATTGACCTAACCTTGACCGTATAGCATCCATTGTATCAAGTCACTCTTAAACGGGGTTAACAACTGATAATAATTTCGATAAAATTAAGAAAATCCTGAATTTACCATTACTTATCGGATTGATCATGGCGGAGCTGGACCCTATATATCAAGGATATTTTAGAAGCTTTGCCATAAGGGGCATGCTCGAAATAATAGCTTTTGAATCATTTTTCTGGTAAATTTACGTGTAATCAACCATGTGCAGATTGCTGAAACGGTTAGCTGTATGATTATCAACATGTACCTTTGTGAAATAAA